ATTTGGCGTACATGGCAGCGAGCGCGTTCTGGAAGTGTGCGTCCTGCTCGAGCTTGGATCTCAAGGCTTGGCGATGGATCTTCTCGCCCATGGCGAGGTCGCCCAGATTGGCACACGCGACGAGCAGCGTGGAGAGGGTGGCTATGTCGGGATGGATCCCCGATTGGAGCATTCGATCGTAGAGGTCCAGGGCGGCGCGATTGTTGCCGGACTGGACATTGGCGGCGATGATCGTAGTCCAGGCGACGAGATCCTTGGTCTTCATGGTCTCGAAGACCCTGGCGGCGAAGCCCAGATCGCCACACTTTGCGTACATGTCCACGAGGGAATTGTATGCGAAGGGATCGCTGGAATCAAGCCCCGATTCGATCATCCGCTCGTGGATCCAGGCTCCGGAGGCGAGGTCGCCGATCGCCACGCACGCCGCGAGCACCGTCGCGAATGTGATCTCGTTAGGCGCCACGCCCCGCGCGGTCATCTCGCGGAAAATCTCTAGCGCCTGGCGGGGATGCCCATTGTGGGCATACGCCGAGATCATCGTCGTGAAGGACACCACGGTCTTGGAGTTCTCTAGAATCGAATCAAAGACCTCTCGCGCCTCAGCGAGCAGCCCCGATCGCGCGTACATGTTGATGAGCGAGTTCTGGACGATTGGATCAGCGTCAATGCCACTGGCGGTGATCTGGGAGTGAATCTTCCGCCCCCGATCGAGGATGGCATCCCTGCCCAGATGCGCGATGGCACTCACGACGCTCGCGTACGTCTTCTCGTTGGGATTGATCCCCTCGGCGATCATCCCATCGAAGAGCTTTACAGAAAAGCTGTAATGCCCGGTTTGGGCAACTGCTGCAATCATCGATGTCCAAGACACTACATTCCTGTGAGGCATGTCCGCAAAGACACGCAAAGCCTCGTCTAGTTTGCCGCAGCGCACGTACATGGAGATGAGCGCATTGAGCACGAGAACTCTAGTTCCATGGATCTCACTCTGGATCTTGTCATGGATCTGGATCCCCCCTCGCAGATGCCCCGCTGCAGCGCACGCACCCAGCGCGATCGCGCACGACCGATCGCTGCACTGGTGCTGCTCCATCTGGAAGAAGAGCTCGATCGCGCGCCGGTGGTGCCCGGCGCCGGCGAGCGCGGACATGATCGCGTTCCATGGCGCGGTGCCGAGCTCGCGGTTGTCGTCAAATGCCGCCATGGCGAGGTCGATCCGGCCGCACTGCGCGTACATGGTGACCAGCGCGGATTGGATCGAGGAGTTGATCCCTCGCCCGGTGGCCACGCGGTAGTGGATGCTCCGGCCCTGGGCGAGATCTTTGATCCGGCCACACGCGACGATCGCCCACATGAAGCCACACGCGCTGGGCTGGGTGTTCTCCACGCTCATCCGGCGATAGAGCTCGAGAGTGTCGCGTGGGCGATCCGCGGCCAGGAACTCCTTCATGAGGACGTTCCAGCAGAATGGGCGGCGATCGGGCATGGCATCGAAGAGCGCGATGGCGGTGTCGAAGCAGCGGCAGCGAGCGTACATCTGGAAGACGAGCTCGCCCAGGAGGGCATTGCGCGCGAGGCGGCGAGAGACGATGTGGGCGTGGACGCGGCGGCCGTGATCCAGGGCGCGCTGGTTGCCGCATTGGCGGAGGAGATTGGCGTAGAGGAGGAGCTGCGAGGTGGATCGGTGGCGGAGCTTGTCCAGGCGGAGGAGGGCATCGTCGAGGCGGGAGATGAGCAAGCCGGCGGGGGGGCCGCGGTTCTTGAGCCTCTGGGGCTTCCAATTCTCGCGGTAGTAGCGCCAGTCTTTCAAGTACATATGCTTCCCCATGATGGAAATGAAGAGCTATCCTACCTAGTTGACTACCACTAGACATTGCCTCTATAAAGTTCTATGACACTTTCATCTACTTCGCCATCTTTGTTATATGTTTTTGTTCCTCTCAAGCAACACAGCATCTATAGTAAAATTTCTCCAACTAAGGGATTTAAATGAAAGGCTCATAAAAAAAAAAAAAATGTATATGGTTTTTCTCTTCCAAATATAATCCTGTGTATATTGTGTGATCATTCCACCAAAACAGAGCTGCCCGGCTTGTGGCGGAGCTAGAACCCGAGGATGGAACGCCGTATGTGATGCTCTCTAGCATGTGCTCGCTGCGGTGATCTTTACTTCGTCATCTTTACTGTATATTTGGGCTTGATTTTAACAAAGCATCTAAACCAGCAACACAGCATCTAAACAACACAGCATCAAGTAACACAGCATCTAAACCAGGATAGTCCCTCCAAAATTTCTTGAACCAAAGGCTCAGAAAGTTAAATGAAAGGCTCAGAAAAAAAAAGTTAAATGAAGTTTAAAAAGTTAAAAAAGATAAAAAGTTAAATGAAAGGCTCAGAAAAAAAATTCAAAAAATGTATATGGTTTTTCTCTTCCAAATATAATTATTGTGTGGTCATTCCACCAAAATCCTCCAATTCTTAATCAGACCACCTTACATCAAGAATGCAAGCAGCGGGGCTTTAGCTCAACTTTTATATGTTTCTGCTTTGGAATCTTATTTTATCTCTTTTTGTAAGTGTTCAAAGAAAAATGGAAGGCTGCTTAGAACCCAGCAGCAAAAGAAAGAGAGAGAGAGAAGAAAAAAATATTGGAATGGTTCGTCCCTTCCAATACTCCGACGTGTATGTTGTGATCTACCAGAGGCCAAGGAGCTTCCACCAAAATCCTCCAACTCCCAACCAGATCACCAAATTGACGATGCTCATCAAGAATCCATAGCCCCACCAGGTGGACAGCGGCACGTATCCAGCACCATAGAAAACCGGAGCCGATCCAATGCCGTAGTGCGTCAGTCCTCCCATGAGATTGGAGAGGAAGGCGAGAACCAGCGCTCCAAACAGCGGTGGAGTTCCAAGCGCGGTGGCCACCGAGAGAAAAGCCGTGAACATAGCACCGATGTGAGCAGCACCACTTGCGAAGAAATAGTGCGAGTAGAAGTAGAGCATGACGAGGATCCCGAAAGAGGCTTGCCATGACAAGCCCAGACCACCCACAACCTGATGAAACAACGAAAGGAACGTTGGATCTTAAGTGGAAAAATCGAAGGTTTGAGCTCTACCTTGACGACTGTCTGGCTAAACCACGCGATGAGTCCATACTTGTTGAGATATCCGGCCATGGCGATGAGAGCTGCGAACCATGTCAGTGTGTCCCAAGCAACGGCTTCGCCCAAGCACTCCTTCCATGTCACGACTCCGGTGGTGAGTAGAACCGAGAGGCCGAGGATGGCAGCGGTGACCGCGTCGACTTTGATAGCCGAGCCGAAGATCCACAGCCCGACCTGGAAACCAAGGAAAACAGATGGTTAGAAATGGAAGAGATCGATCGAGGAAGAAAAAAATGCAAGGAACTCTGATCGAAGATAGAGCTAGAAAAAGAGAAAAGTTGGCGACCAGAGAAGCGATCGAATCGATCGAGGAAGATCAAAGGAGGAGGAGAAAGATACGAAGGGAAAAAAGAATGAGAGAGAAACGAGCAATGGTTAGAAATGGAAGAGATCGATCGGAGTAACTCTAGATAGAGCTGCAAATTGAAAAAGAGAAAAGTTGGCGACCAGAGAAGCAGAAGGAGATCGGAGGAGAAAGAACCGATGATGAAATGGAAGAAAGATCGAGAGAGAAGAAAGACTTCTCCTTACCGTGACGATCAAAGTTCCAGTCATGATCCACTCGTTCTTGCTCATCGGTCCCATCTTGTCAAGCTTCTCCCTGGCCAGCCTCGGCGCATCCGGGCTACTCTTGACAGTCGGCGGATAGATCACGTAGAGCAGCAGCGGCACAACCAGGAGCGAGACCAGCCCGGGAACCACCGCCGCCACCGCCCAGTCCGTCCACCCAATCGCCAACCCCGTGCTGCCAGTCGCCAAGTTCACGCTCAGAGGATTCGCCGCCATAGCCGTGAGGAACATCGCCGAGGAGACGACGCTGGTCTGGAAGCACGTAAGCATGAGCCACGCCCCAAGCCGGCGCTCGGTGCCATCGCCAACTTTGCTGTTGCAAGCCAGGCACAGCGCCTTCACGAGCGGCAGGAAGATCCCTCCAGCCCTGGCGGACACGGATGGAATCGCCGGCGCGAGGAGAGCTTCGCTGAAAACCAGACTGTATCCCAGCCCGAGAGAGGTCTTGCCGAAGAGCGCCACGAACTGGTACGCGACGCGGTTGCCCAGCCCGGTCTTGATGAATCCCTTGGCGAAGAAGAAGGCGAGCGCGATGAGCCAGGGGATGGGATCGCCAAACGCGCTAAAGGCTGCCGCGAAGGAGAGAGTTCTCGTGAGCACCGCGGCGCCCAGGCCCATGAGCGCCACCGCGCCGAGCGGGAGAGGCTGCGTGATGATCCCGACGATGGTGGCCAGGAAGATGCTGAGGAGATGCCATGCGCTGCTCGTCACGCCCTGCGGGGGTGGGATGAGCCACACCAGCAGCCCAGTCGCCACCGAGAAGGCCAAGCTCTTGAGATCGGCGCCCTCCCACTTGGGCTCGGCCGGGAGTGGCGGCGGCGGCGCCGCGGCGGCGGAGGAGGTGGAGGCCCGGATTTGCCCGCCCCGGCGCTGGCGAGGAAGTGGGCGATGGAGATCGGCCACCAGCGCGGAGCCCAACTGGGAGATTCGCGACGAGATCGCGGCTGCTGCTAGTGGAGATGGAGAGAATCGAGTTACCAGGAGCGATGGCGGTGGGAGGATCTTGGGCTTGGGCTTGGCCGAGGAGGGTCGTGGAGCTCCTCCCACGGCGGAGGAGTGTAGCAGCGCCGCCGCTGCCGCCATCGCCACTCTCGTTTCCTCGCCTCCACACACACACAGTGCCACACTGGGTAACCTGGATTAAAGCTACTCCCATCTCATTACCACAAATTAAAAAGATTCTTCCTGGATTACTTTGGATCGTCCATTCTTCCAACTGGGCAAGAAAATTTAACGAAAAAACCAGTTGAAATAAACACCAGGTGGAACCGATAACAATTTTCACTTTTTACGTAAAGTTGAAGGTAAGAAACTCTCAAGCGGAAGAGCTGATCTATTACAATTTTTACAAGGGTTTACCTCTAAGCTCTTTCATCGCCACCTTTTCTCCTATTGGAAATCCACGCTCAGTTGGTAAAAACGAAAGAAAACTTTACTTGCCACGAACTTTGCTTTGCTCTGCTATGATCTCTGGGCCGCCAGCGACGAAGCCTTGATTCTTCCGCGCAGTAAGCTTTGAGCCTCCGCGGCCTGGATCTTCCGCCGCTTGGCCAGGAGCTGGAGCTTCTGATCGCTGCCTGCCGGTGGCAATCCATAGGCGCCGCTCTGCGAGAAGATCGAGGTGGCGCGGATCGCCGCTCTCTTGTCTCTCCTGTTCTTGTCGAATTTCTGCGCGAAACGAACGCTCCCCGCTGCTTGTGCGTCGTCCTCGGACGCTGGGAGCAGCCTGATTCCAATGCCCAGCTTCTTCGAGTGCGCCTCTTCCAAGGCCACCCTCTTTTTTTGATCCTGGATTGCCACCATCGACGTTAGCACGAGTGGAAGACGAAGAAACGAATGAGAGTCGAGTCGTGTACCCTTAGCTGCGCTCGAAGAGCTCTGTTGACGGAGTAGTCGTTTCCGTGCTTGATATCCGACTGCTTCTGCAAGAGCATCAGTTGCTTCGCCGATTCCTTTCCCTTGAGAATGTCCTCTTCGTCGTGCTCCAGTTTGGCAAAAGGATCCGTCAACTTCTCCCTGTCTGCCAAAGGAAGAAAAATAGAGCTGTGAGCAAAAAACCATGTTTTTTGCAAAGGATCTTACCTTCTCCGGTTGCTACAACGAGCGAGCCAGCATCAGCCGCATCGTAAGTCTCCGTTTTTCTCTCGGCTCCCTTGACGATCACGTACTCGCAGTTTTTGGGATCGGTGTGGATCTCTATCTCGTGCTTGCAACATGCTGCTTTCATCGAGAAACTCCATATCTAGACCACGAAAGAAATTCTTAAGGACTTCCTGGCAAACTTTCTTTTCCATACCTTGGTCGTGTAGTACTTTCCAATTTGCTTCTTCTCCGCGTTAAACCGGACACCTTTGGCGATCATCGAGTGACATCCACCACACCACACGTTGAAAGGCATCTCGAATCGGATGACCAGAATTCCCTGGTCGATCTTCCTCGCCCTCTCTCTGAGGGGATGCTGGCCTTGGAATTTGTTGAGAGATCCCTGCTCCAAGAGATTAGAAAATCCGAAATCCAACAAGCTCATCCAGTACCTGTTTGGGCGTCCATTCTGGAGGGAAGTAGAAATTATCAGCTCGGGCTGCCGCAAGCGTCGACTGGAACAAGAAAACCGCAAACGCATCGATCATGAGCTGTGAAATCCGGCGCCTAGGCTAGCAGCGCGTACCATTCTGTGACGATCCCTCGCCGCCGCGCGCTGGAATCGATGATCCGGAGAGCGATCAAGGGCGCCCTCCCAAAACGCTCCACAAACCCTAAATTTCTAGCGTACCCCTTTTAAAATGCTTAACGGGGTTTTATTCAAGTAAAAAATTATAAGCTCTTTAAGGCCGTGTTCCACCGGAGAAGAAGCTCTTGCTAGCGCTAGAGAACGAACAAAAAATATAAGAACGAGAGCTCGGATCAAATGATCGCTGGAAATCCAGTTTGTTGCATCTCACGCAGTCGCCATCGCGGAGTGAATTCGTCCGGATCCATTTCGTCTAGAGAAACTTGCTGCATCGCCCAAGCGTAGAGGATCGTCCGGATATCGTCCTGCGCGATCCATCGGGATCTCGTTAGATGCTTTCCGGCAAACAGAAGAAGAAACTATACTTGCCTTTGATCCTTCTCGTATGTGACCGAACTCATCGCGCACACAGTAGTTTTGCTGCGTTTGGAACTAAACACGGCGAGAAGCGTTTTAGCACGGATTAGAAAAACAAAGCGGAACTCACAGAGATAATGATAACTGGCTCGTTTCCGATTAGTTTCGATTCCCTGACTTCCAGCTCCGATATGTAAAGAATCTGTGAGAAAGAGCAGCTTAGAAAGCGTCCTGGAAAGCTGAAAGCTTGCAGTTTCTACCTTGGTATCGACATATAGTCCTTGGCTTTGAAGTGCTCTGTGTTCTGCGCGACATCGCTCTACGACCTCCTTGCAAACTTTCTTTCTCAGCGTATCATAATCTCCCTGGCCCCCATACGATGAGTAAGAAATCGTGAAAAGCCTCAATTAAGAATGTTTCACCTTGAGATACGCAGTCAGTATCGGTCTGATATCTTCTTGGACTTCCAGGACAAAGTCAGGAAAAGAAAAGGTCCTGAAAAACTCGAGCGTCAAGACAAGATAAAGTGATTGACGTGAGAGTCCTTACGGGTCCCTGCTGCGAATCTCTTTGAAAGCCGCTGCAGTTGCCGTCTCGCCAAAAAACGATTCGTTTAGGCTGTAGAGAAAAAATCAACAGTGAAATCAAGCGTGGAGAGACTGCAATACGTACTCTTGAATCTTATGCACGACAGGACTATCGCTCGTTTCCCACCTATCCCTCATTTCGTCCGCTATCTGTACATCTCATGTTTAAGACAGGGGATACAAATGACGAAACCAGAAAGCACCTCGTTGGTTTTTTGAACTACTGGATGATCTTTGACATTTTTAAAGCGCCTGTACAATGGATGAGAAGTGGCCTGCAACACAGTTTCACTTAGCTAAAAAGAGAAAAAAAAAAAAAACGAAAGAGCAATCTTACCTTCTCTTTCAAGTCGTCCAAATGTTTCCGCCAGCCAGTGGTCTTCTTTGCAACAGGAACGATATCCGTTGCGCTGCTTCTGGAGAATCCTGGCTTGCTTTTCTTCACTTTCCGAGTCGACGTAAGCTCCTCCACAATCAAGTTGTAGCCGTCCTTCGCCACTGACGCTACACTTCCTATTCGCATAGAGTCCAGAACCGACTTAACTTTCCCAGCGAAAGCTCCCCCACCGGGAGCCGACTGCTGAGCCTTTTGCTGTGAAGAATCAGTGCCTCCGTGTTCCTTGTCCTCCTTGGGAACCTCTTGCGCGTCGGGAGATTCTCGAGGCTTCGAAGCCTCTTCTGCATTGGGAACCTTCGAAGCCTCTTGTGCATTGGGAGCCTTCGAAGCCTCTTGTGCATTGGGAGCCTTCGAAGAATCTTGCGCATTGGGAGCTTCTTCCGCCTTGGCAGCATCTTCAGCGATCCCAGCCTTGAAAGCTTCTTCTGTTTTCTCGTCTCGTGCACCTTCTTGTGATTTGTCAGCTCTAGGAATCACACTGCCCCTGACCTGCCAGTCATATCAGCACACAAACTTTGATTGGAACAAGAAGGCAAAGAAAGAAAAAGCAAGCTTACTTGTTCTGATGCCTCGGATATCTTTTCCTTGATCACGCTCGACACTTGCTTTGCTCTCGTCTCCGCCTCTTCCCGAGCAGCATCAACGTGCTTGTACAAATGCTCGGCGGTCTCCTTAGTTCTGCATTTCCTCTGCCAATATCAGAGAGCCTTTGCACCAAGGGTGGAGATCTGCGTCCCTCAAACATCAAAAATATGTCTGAGCCTATACCAAGGACCATCCTCCACAAAAAACTCCACTCCCAAGAAAAAAAAAGACTAGAGAAGATCTTCTCTAGTTTCTTACACCCCCTTCCATCACTCAAAGCTGTGAGAAAGAATTACCTGCTCTTGAAATCGTCTGCCTTCTCCTTGAACTCCTTGATCGATTTTTGCAACTCGGGATTGCTGCGAAAAACTCGTCAGAGAAACAAACCACGCAAGGAAATGCGAAAATTCGCAAACCTGTCAATCTCGCCCTTGAGCTTCTTCGAGATTTCCTGGAAAATGCTCTGGTTGCGCGGGGAGTAGTGGAAAGGGCGTCGCGGGTAAAGAACCTAGAAGCACAGAAGGAACGATCGAATCGATCCATTGGCGCGCTCGCTAGAAATCTATGTGGCGCGTGAGAAAAGAGAAGAACTTACGCGATGGGAGCGCAACGCCTGGCGCAAGAAGAAGCTCATGCTCATCTCCTCGTCCCACAGCCGCGATTAAAACCCGCGTCTCCACGCAAGGTTTAGGGCTAGGGCTGACACAAAAATCTCAGCCCTAACCCTAACTTTACCCATTCCCTAATTAGGAATTAGCCAAAAGGCTACCATAGTATAAACCTAGCATTCGAGAATCCTTTTGCTACAATGACGACAATGACGAGAACACGAAGAACTGCGATTTCTCGGGAAAAATCACTGTCACCAGAGGCAATAGCGATCACGTTTTTCATTGTTCTTTCCATCATCCGGCTGGGGATTCTTCCGGCAGCTTTGGCAACTTCATGCTCTTTGTTTCTAAAGATGATCACTGCAAGTGAGGCAACCCCTCTTGTGGCCAAAAGATCCAGAAAAGGAAATCTAAGGTTTCCAAGAGCCTCAGTCTCACACTGAGCAAATCTTCTAGAGGTTCATATGTTGTAACTCCAGACTTGTATTTATCAAGTTTCTGGAAAGAAATTTCAACTTCTTGAACACGAAAACTTGACATCGCTGCCATACTTGGCGATCAAATCCTTGAAAGAACCCACCTGACCATCGTCGTAAGCGCCAACTTCATCGGGTCTCCACATCACCATCAAGCTCGCGACGTTCCTCTCGCTCTCATCGAAGAACCTCACCATGTAAGTCGTGATGTTTCCCTGCATGGATTTCCCCTGTATCAGCTTGGCCGACGAGACCTTGTCCACGAGCAAATGGAAGTCCACGTTGTCTTCCTTGATCATCAAGTTCGCGTACTCGCCCTTTCCCGGGAAATCCTTGTAGAAGAGCTTGTCCAGGCTCGGCACCACGGATTCCAGCACCCCCACGCCGGTGTTGACGATGATCCTCATCCTTCCCACGGCCTTGAGATCTTCCAGCAAATCCTTCACGGAATGCGCGCTAGCGCTCGTCGAAGAGGGCTCCAAATCCACATTGGTGGGCGATGAGATGGAGCAGCGAGGGATGGATCTAGCGGAGACTCTCGCGATTCTAGCCGAGAATGGCGCTGCCACTGACCTTGGAATGGGGTGGATCGCTGGAACCAAGGATGTGGCCGCCATCGTCATAGCCACACCCAAGTTTGCCATGTTTAACTCCGTACACGTGATCACGCCCGTACAGAAGTTTTATTCTCATTCCATAGAACACAAAAAAGAGAAGCTCGACGATTTTATACAGTCTCGTTTATAAACAAACGAAACCAGACCTCTAGGAAATATATACTCTCTCTTTTCGTTTACATCACACCATTCAATCCACCACTCACCTCGGCAGCAGCGTTTTCAATCAAACCTTGCAAATGGTAGACTCCAAACAATCTCCTCTTTGTCTTTTTTTTTTCCGTGATCTTCGATTCATCCGCTTCACTTCGCTGCTGCCTTTCCGGGTGTCTTGGACAGATTGCTAAAGTCCCCTTTCTCCTTGACGAGCTGAGCGTAGTGATGTCTGCAGTAAAGCCGGCCTTCGTGAGCTTGGTAGTTCGAGGGAGATATCGTGCAGCCGCCGTGACTGCATTTGAAACAGGACTTGTGATACGATGTGTTCTCAACAGTGACCTGTAAGATCAAAGAAATCGTCACTCGCTAGATACCAAACATCCTATTAGACAAACCTTCTCGATCGGGTACACAGTTTTCCCGCAAGCAAAACATTTTTCTTGAGTCCCAGAGAACAAGAGCGATGTCTTGGAAGGTGTCTTGCTCTGTTGCGAAAACAAAACAAGAAAAACCAGCCGAAAGTTGATTGCCACAAAGTCAAAAGTCTTTTTCTTTTTTTTGAATTACCGCTTCTTCGCCAACGGGCTTGTGTAGAAGTCCTGTCAATCCACAGTGGAGTCGTGACGCGATCAATTTGAAAAAATACATTCTTTTAGAAGATAAAGTTCCTACCTGACTCGAAACTCTTATCGAAACTTCCCGTGAGCTTGAAGAGCTGATCGAAATGGGGCTTGCAATACAAGACGCCCTCCAGCGAAGCATAATTGCTAAGCTGCAATCCAAGAAAACAAAGATTTCTATCATGCTCAAATTGGAAGAGAGAGAAACATGATCTTGAATCAAATCCTCATCTTTCTCTCTCTCTCTCTCTCTCTCTCTCTCTCTCTCAATCTCAATCTCAATCTCCCAATTACCTTCAATGTCCCCTTGCAGTGATGGCATCGAAAGCACGCTTTGTGATAGACGACGCCATCGGCAGTGAGCTGATCCACCAAGTAGACTGTCTTGTCGCATGCCTTGCATTTTTGCTGCGTCCCGGCGAAAGAAAAGGAAGACATCCTAGAACAGCTGCTGCTGCCGCCCGGCTGCTCGATCGATCGATCCGGCCCCGCTGCCCAGAGAACCCTAGAATACCCAAAAACGACCTAGCATTTCGGCCACAGCGTATACTAAAACGGGGACCACTAGCAGTGTGACACGTCGGCAAGCGCATCCTGTCTGGCAGCACCGAACATTTGAATGACAGCCAGTGCGAGCGCGCCAGCTGTATAAGAGAGAAAGTTGTCGCTGACGTGGCCGGCTTCTAGAACTCGTGGTAAAGCTTTCCTTTCTCTAAGAAAATCCAGTCAATATTGTACGGAAGTTTTCATTCTCTTTGTAAACCAGAGAACTTCCCACATCGTCTGGAGATTTTTCTCTTCTCTTGGACAGTCAAGAAGATCGTGGGTTCATTGATCGATCAATCTTGCAACAAATTTTACACATTGACTTCCACCAGGCCCAGTTGGATTGTGCAGAGATTTCACCTCCGTACGCCCGGATCTCTAGAGATTCCGGGATCCACTCCAAACAGATTAGTCTAAAGCCCCATCTCACATTACACGAGAGATTCCATTGCTCGCAAGATTAACCAAGTCTTTGCTCAAACACACACAGCCCACGAGAGATTCCTCCTAGTACAGTGAGAAAAACCTGTAGTTTTAGCAAACCTTTAGACACCTTTAATCATCGCCCAGGAGATTTGTGTTTTCGAATTGCCTGGAAAGGTTTTCGCAAGGATCATGAAAGTGAGTGCAAATTAAAATGCATCATCACGACCATCATACCATGCCATTTTCATTCCAATCGATTTCTAATTATCGTCTTGATCTTTATCATTGGGACCAAAAGGCAAGAAAAAAGCTTTAAAGATTATATTTTTTGTCAATTTTTCTGGTTTCATGCGACGATCACGCAAGAAAAGAAAAAAGAAAAAAATCTAACAATGATGCATAGCACCACTCACGTCGTTCGGCGGTGGGGCGAATATACCCCAACACTCACTTTGAATATTCGTCCCTCCTTTTTCCCCTTGAAAAGCTACAGAAAAGAAGGCATATGCAATAATGCGTGTTGGAGGGAATCAAACGGCAATCATGGGCCCCCTGCAAATCTTTTCATTTTTCTAAAGCAGAGAATATTCGGGGAGGGGATCTTCGAAAGGTGGACGCCAAATGCCCTGGACTGGCATTTTGGTTTTGTCTTTGTTTTCGTTTTGGCACAAGGGAACAAGGGCCGCAGAGGAAACTCTAGCTTTTTCTCCGGTATCAGTATACAAAAGGGCGACACATATTGCTGGTACCAGCTTGTATAGATATGCGTAGAGCAGTGAGATCATTGAGCAATGTGCCCCCTTTTGTTTGGTTTTGCTTGTTTGTAAGTTGTGCTTGTTTTTGTGTTTTTTATTTCTATCTATTTTTATTTATTTATCTTCGTCCCGCTGTGAAAGTTACGGATGCCTGACGACGAGAGAAAGAAACAAAGTTTGCATTCATATGTATTTTCTAGGTGTATCTTTGTGTTTGACTAGCCAATACGCGTATGGGGTTTCGTAATCTAACCAGGTGGAATGCTGGATGTCACTCATGCTGCTGGGACAATGGGATTAGAATATTCGTGGGTCTATTTGCGCATTGATTCGCTTGCATCTGAGCAAGCTGGCTGCTTGAGACAACAGTTTTCAAAATGCCCCCTCAAGGCATTCAGAAACTTTGTAAAATTCACCATAAAAATCTATCTAGAACATTCCAATCAGCCAAAGTATTTACAATACATTTATCTTATCTAATTCGACTTTACCAGTGGTGCTTTTCAAAATACCATTTAGTATACGTGCATGGAAATGAATCAATTATATGTTTGCTTGTTTGAAATGCTTGAACAGGTCAACATGAAAACACAACTATTCATGTCTCCCAAAATATTTTCCTCCTTGCATTTGTTTATTTTGTTTGAAGAAGGGATTGTGCTCCATTTAATGCCTTTGCCCAATTGTGCCAGCTCCAGCCAAAATGCTTGTTTAGCATTAGCAGTAGCCAGTGGCTGGCACAGAACCAAGGCCTTATCTTTCAAATCTTTGGAAACTACTGCCTCCAGGGAATCATCCTGTATGAGTGGAGTGGTGCCATTCTCTCTGGTTTGTTTTTAAGCTTCTTTTTTATGATATAGCAGAGAGTTTTCTTCAAGAGAGGAAGGACTGTTCTTCTTCTTCTTCTTCTTCTTCTTCTTCTTCCAAGTTTTTCCTCTTGTTTCTTAGCCATTTGGTTTGATCTTCCTGTGCGCGCTAGCTTGGCTTTGTTGATATTGCTCTTGCCACTCTTTCTTTCTCTTTCTTGCCTTCCAAGGCTTCCAGAATCCTACCCCAGAGAGTCTGCTTGTTTCTTGCTCCTGTCCCAGATTAGAAGTTTCCAAGCCCAAAAGCCAAGCAATTTTCTCAGCTCAATTCTTGGAGGAGATCTCCTAGCGCTTGGATTTTTACTATGTTGCAGCTAGATCATCTGCTTTGTCTGTCACCGCCTCGTGAGATTTGAGAGAATGACTGGATGTTTGCTGCAATGGGAGGCCGTGACTGCAAGGGAAACAACAGGATAGCGAGACCAATCCTCCTTTTCTTCAGTGAGAACCAGGATGTGGGGAGTGTAGCCTAGCTCGAGAGATTGATTTGATACTAAGGCTAAGCACACAAGGTTGTGATCACAGCTTTGTCTCGGACCAGGCTTCATTCCCCTCAGCGTGGTGCTCACTCTCGATCAAGCTCGAGTTTTCTTTAGCCGTGGGGTGAAATCTTTGTGCTTGCAGTCGATCTTGCAGGAACCGAATCACTCGAAGAGCTCGTCAGATCTAATCGAATCGAGCAGGCTCGTGTTTTTCGTGGATCTTTCTCTCTCGTTGGCGGAAGAAAGAGCGCATTCGAAGGTACCAGCTTGTGGAAGAAACGCTTAACACTCCATCTCCATTCCTTTGTTGCTTGCTCTGTTGCTGTGTTGTTGTTGATGGTGGCGCTGGTGGGTGGACCGCAACAAAAGCCTCGCATTGATGGCCAATTCAATAGAACTGGCCGAGCAGCGTACATCCATCCAGAGGTTTTCGATTAGAGGTACGAAAGTGAGAGATTCTTGTTTTTCTACACAGCATGATGATGATGATGCGATGATGATCCATGCTGTGCTTGATCTTTTCTTCATGATATAATCACGGTAAATCCTCTCCAACAGTCTAAGAGTCACCAATACGAACGCCATAGTTTCTTCTTTAACTTTCTCGGCCGTAAGTTCATCTTTCTGGATCCACCATCGTGATCTTCGAGCTTTAGCCAGCAATCCCATCGCTGAAACTTCTCACTCAATGATCAAACTTTGATGGTCATCATCGATCATTCCAGAGTGGACACCGCCGAGGAGTTCTTCCGTGTAAACATTACCCAGAAGCACGAAAGGAGACGAGGAGGCCTGTAGATCTAGCGCCGACGCACACTCGGCCGCGTGCTCGGCTCTCTCCACATCGTTATACATCCGGCAGCAGCTCAGCAGCGTCTTCCAGGCGATGGAATCCGGAACGAAAGGCATGCTGTAGATCAAACTCTCGGCTTCCACCAATCTACCAGCACGGCCCAAAACACTCACCATGCAGTGGAAATGCTCGCAGCTCGGCTGGACGAAGTGGTCGGAGATCATCCCAGTGAAGTGCTCCACAGCGTCTCGGACTCGCCCAGCATGGGCGCAAGCACTGAGAATGCTCACAAAGGAGACGTCATCAGGCTTGCAAGATCCGTCAAGAACCATGTCTCTGAAAAGGATTACTCCGTTTCGGGCATGTCCGTTTTGGGCATACGCTACCAGCAAAGCGTTCCAAGAAAAAACCGTTCTCTCTGGAGATTTCTCAAGCAGGGACTTGGCTTTGGTTAGATACCCATTTTGGGCATTTGCTAGAATCATAGAAGTCCAAGATTGTGCGTCCCAGAGTGGAGCTTTCTCAAATACCTGTGAGCTTTCCGTTACGCGGCTATGCAGCGCAAAGGCCTTGAGCATAGCATTCCACACAAGAACGTTCTTCAGCTGCATCATATGAAAGATCTTTTGCGATTCCTCTAAATGCCCATTTTGGGCATATGCTTGTATCATCGCGTTTCCAGCCACCACATTTTCCCGCCCAACGTAATCGTAGATATCTTTTGCTAGACCAACCAAGCCGCAATCGCCCAGCATCTGGATCCACAGCGTCCACGAGAAATCATCCAGAGCTGGAGCTCGATCCAGCACTGCTCCAGCATAATCGGGCTCTCCTCCCTGAGCAAATGCCGCCGCAAACGAATTCCACGACACCTGGTTGCGCTCGGGCATGGCGTCAAAATACTCCTTCGCATCGCCCAACCGACCACCCTGCGCCAGCGTCGTGAGCATCGCGGTCCAGGACACGAGATTACACTGGGGCATTCGCTGGAACGAAGCGATCGCCAGAGCCACATCGCCGATCATCGCGTAGGCCTGCAGCAGCGCCGTCCACGACACGACGTTGCGCTCCGGCATTGCATCGAAGGCAGCCCTCGCTTCCACCGTCGCGCCGTTTTGTCCCAGCCCCGCGATCATGCTCGTCCAGGTGAAGACACAGGGATCCGGGAAGCAATCAAACACAACCTTCGCCTGATCTATGAGACCCACGAACAGCAATGCCTGGATCATCGAATTCCAGCTTACTCGATCGTGGAGAGGCATGTTTCTCCACAGCGCCATCGTTTCCTGCAAATACCCTCTTTGGGCATATGCAGTAATAGTGGTATTCCAAGCTACCTCGTTTCGCACGGGCATGTTGTCAAACACAAACTTCACGTCATCGAATTTCGAGTTTTGTGAGTATGCGTGTAACATACACGTACTTGTGAGTGGATCTGGATCGCGCAAAGAATTGTACAAACTCTGTGCTTGCAGTAAATGCCCATTGTCGGCAAATGCTTTGATCATGGCTGTGCAAGAAATGTTGTTCCAGTGCGGCATCTTGTAGAAAATGGTGCGTGTAAGGTTTTGATCGTAGGCTTGGAGTATCGTGTTCCATGCTACCTCGTTGCGAACGGGCATAGCATCAAACAAGGCTTTTGATTCGTCAAAATGCCCTCTTTGAGCATATGCTGCAACCATAGCCGTCCAAGAGATCACGTTAGGTCTTGGCATCGCGTCGAAGTTCTTGCGCGCCTGGCGGAGATCCCCGCCCCGGGCGCACGCCTGGATGACAATGTTCCAGGAGACGCTGCTGGGGCGCTCGATCTGCTGGAAGCTCCTCTGGGCATCTGCCGCGCTGCCACAGTTGCCATAGCTCTGCGTGAGGAGGTTCCAGAGGAGCGCATTCTCGCGGTGGTCGCTCTCGCGGAGCCGCCGCTGGATTTGCCTGAGCCCCTCGAGATCTTTGCTCGCTCCCAATGCGCGAATTCGAGCCGCGAGGCCCTCGATCTCCGCCTGGAATGCCGCGAATCGATCGTCGATTGGGGGAATTTGGCGAACGATTACGCGAGGCTTCGTCCTCGCGAGCTCTCTTAGCTTAAGCATGGACTAATTAATCCTTGTCTAAGTAGATTCTCTTTTTCCCTCGAAATATCTGGGAGCGGCGCCGCTGGATTGGCTGGCGGCGCATCCTGACCGTCGAGACCGCTGCTTATCTTCTTCTCCCATAAACCCTGACAAAGCCCTCATTGCCCTACGGGCGCGCGTGGTGCGAGGATAAGGAGGCGCCGCTCTCTCGCCGCTCAAAATCCCTCCTCCAGGTATGACGAAGCTCGCGATTCGACCGAAGAATGCGATTCTGATAGCGCGCATTTTGGTGTAGAAATCATGCAGCATGCCGTGACGCAGCTCGGGGGGCTGCCGCCGCTGGGAACGCATTCCTCCTGCCTGTTTGGCGATGGCAGGATTGGGAGCCTCGCCTTCTCGGCGCCAAAGGAGGCCTTCTTCCTCTCCAGAACAATGTCCGCGACCACTCGCGCAGCTTATTCCGGTAGCTTTGGCCAGAATCCTCCAGTCCCGCCAAGAAACAATGCTCCGCCGCCGCCTCTCCCGTTCGACAACGCCGCCACTCCGCCGCCTCCAATGCCGGGCAATCCACAGATGCAAACTCCTCCGGCCATTCCACCGCCAGGGCCTTTTGCTACCGAGACCAACGCTTTCCCGAGCGAAAGACCCTCGGCCATAGCACCCAATGCTCCAACCGACGCGAAGTTCACGTCCGCCAGGCCTCCAAGCTCCTCGCCGGGGTTAAACTTTCCTGGGAGTCAGATACCGGGACTGCCAGGATCGCCGCGGCCAAAGCCTGGAACTCCTAGGCCGTATGATCCGACCAAGCAGAAGTCCAAGGTGATGGAGTGGCTCACTCCGCCTCCGCCACCCACGGAGCTTCTCCAGCGCGAGCACTTCCGGCTCTCCCCGACGTGTACTTGCACTATATACTTCGGTGATTTGTCCAAGTGGTTTGTGGATGGGAAGTCGGATGCGGTGGTCAGTATATCGTTCTCTTCATCCTCTTTTCGATGTGATCTTGGAGGCTAATTCCTTGTTTGTTCTTGGCAGATTGCTCCTGCAAACAAGCGACTTAATACTGGCCCGGCAGTGAATGCTGGTAAGCTTATCTATGTTTTCTTGTGTTTGCTGGTGTTTCATGCCTATTTCTTTTTTCGCTGTAGTGCTCTTCAAAGCTGCTGGTTCTCGACTTTTGGATGCCACACAGAGGCTTCCAGATGTTGCTCCTCAGGGAATCAAGGCCGAAGTTGGAGATGCTATCAGTACAAGGTTGTCCACGTACTTTTGACGTTGATTAATCCCTGGAGTGTTCCTGTACGTGCAGGGCATTTAATCTTCCTGTTTCAAGAGTCATTCACACGGTTGGGCCAGTATATAAGAAGAACGACCAGACGAACGTCCGAGAATCTGATGAAAGCCTCATCAAGGCTTACAAGTGAGAGTTTCTCTTCGGTTTTACTTAGCTAACTGGGATCACAGGAGTGCCTTGGATATTGCGAGGAAAGAAAACTTGGTAAATCTTGCGTTCCCGCCTCTGTCTTGCCGTATATATGGGTAAGAAATGTGTGATGAGTAAACATAACTGGCTACTGGTTATCTAGATATCCATACATCGAAGGAGCGGAAGTTGGTTTAAGAACTCTCAAGGAAAATTGTGAAGGCTTTACACAGGTAACCTTACTCGTGCTTGATTCATCTAAACTGTGTGATTTACAGATAGACATTGTTATCAGAAACATAGAAGGCTATGAGGCCTTCATAGAAGAGGCCACCAAGCAGCTGGAGGTTATTAAGGAGAAGAAGACTATCAAGGCGCCATCGATGGCACCGCGGACAGGAGCCGAGGCAGTTGCTGCGCCACCGTCGCCTCCAGTGACAGCTTCTGAAGTAGGAGCTCCCGCCGCACCAGCGTCCGAGCTGGAGAGTCCCCCACAAGCAGAAGCAGCAGCAGCAGCAGCAGCAGCATCAGCAGCATCAGCAGCAGCAGCAGCAGCAGCATCAGCGTCAGCCTTAACGGGCCTTGAATCTTCAACTCCAGCCTTAGCCACAGAAACGGAAGCAGCAGGACCAGAAACTCCGTCAGCAGCAGGGCCAGAAACTCCGTCAGCAGCAGCACCAACACCACCATCAACTACCTCTGGTTATTCGAGTAACTTTCAGGCTGCTTCAAATCCATTCCAGAGTACGTCCGGACCTGCAACTGAGTCTCCGGTTGCTCCAGCAGCGTCAAGCTCCAGCGCTCCAACATCCCAGAGTCCGGCGGCTCCAAGCCCGTTTCAGAGTGCCCCGGTAACTAGTGCTCCGGAAACTCAAAGCTCGTTCTCACAGACGCCACCTCCGCCAAGCGCTCCACAAACTCCAAGCCCGTTCCAATCACCTCCAGCAACTCCAGGTCCGTTCCAAACACCTCCGGCAACTTCAAGTCCGTTCCAAACACCTCCGGCAACTCCAGGCCCGTTCTCAAGTCCTCCGGCATCTCGAAGCCCGTTCCAGAGCTCTCCGGCAATGTCAAGCTCGTTCCCGGGCACTCCAGCGGCTCCTCCAAGTCCGTTTCAGAGCACTCCAGCGCCGCCAAATACGACTACTCCACCGGCCTTCCAAAGCGCACCGTTCCAGAGCCCACCAGCGTCTCCACCAAGTGGAAGCCAGTTCCAGAGCCCACCACCACCAAGTGAGTTTCAGAAAGCCCCGCCTCCTTTTGGCACGCCAACACCGTCACCATCGGCTGGAAGTCCATTCCAACGCGCTCCACCAAGTCCGTTCCAGAGCGCTCCGCCACCACCATCGTCTGGAAGTCCCGCTCCACCATCACCTGGAAGTCCCTTCCAAAACGCTCCACCATCACCCGGGAGTCTGCCACCGCCCGGAAGTCCATTCCAAAGCGCTTCACCACCACCATCGCCGCCTCACTTCCAGCGTAGTCCATACAGCCAGGGAGGATACCAGCAAAGCTCTCCACCGCCACCTTATCAAAACGCTCCTCCGCCACCATACCAGCAGCAGCAGTACAATCAGCCGCCACCATACCAAAGTCAAGCTCCACCGCAGTATCCTCCATACCAGCAAAACGCCACTCCTCCGCCACCATCTCCACCACCGCCGCCACCATCGTTTGAGAGCTCTACACCGACGTATTCTCCATACTCTCCATTTGCACCAGCTCCAGAGCCAACTCCTCCACCAAAGCCGCTAATTCCTCCTCACCAGCAAAAGTACGTGCCACCGCCGCCACCACCGCCGCCGGAGTCCAAGCCCATCCCTCCGCGAGAGAGAGTGTCGCCATTCCCTCCGCCAAATCGCCCGCCCAGGCCTCCATCTTCTCCAACTTCCACTTACGAGCAGCCTCTCTTCTAAGTAGCCAAACTAGTGAAACTAGTAAAGTTCTGCTAGTCTTTTGTTTCAAGAGGTTTTCTTTTGATTTTATGTGATGAGTTAAAGGTATATAAATTAAGTTCTAACAAAGTATATATTTAATATTAATTAACTGGATAAATTGTGTGTATGAAGAGTTTGTGTTATAATCTAAATTGGTTATATTAATTTAAAGAGCTCTCTCTACGAAGTGGTGGGGTACGATGAGTCTCCATTCATCCCACAAATCCCGTCTCCATCCTTTCGCTCGATTTTCATGAATCCGTCCTCCCCCCAGGAAGTTCCCCATGAGTTTTTGATGATCCAGTAGGGCATCCCACCTTCGGTTCCATATCCGATGAGCAAGACTCCGTGATCTAGCGAATCACCGCATTGACCAGAAAGAATTCCCTGGAAAACGATGTGATGAGTTGATTCTAAATGAAATATTTGAGATTTTCTTACACTTTTGTAATTCTGGAAGTTTTCGTCGCTGCCGCAGATGCTAACGGTCACGGGAGTTTTGGAGACTGCTTTCATCAGGGCGTCAGCGCTGTCCTCTGTGACGACTTTAAAACCAGTGATCTCCGCCACCTTATTCTTTGCCTGGCCAAAAGAACAAAAAACACAATAATAGCTTTAATATGAAATAATTAGTAAAATATACCAACCTTATTCGCGTTGCAACTGCCCACAGATCCTGTATATGGATAGGACGCCTCCGTGGTGACACCACCGTTTTTCACCACGAACTTAAACGCAGTCTCCATTAACCCACCGTCACATCCTGCATCTACCGTGTCACAGTCCATTAATTGCTGCTCGGACAGAGAAACGAGCTCCTTCGTCGCCAGAAAGTGTGCACTCTCGATCGATGCAATCGCCGAGAAAGCCCAGCAGCTCCCTGTGAACCACACGAATCACCCACAAGGCCAAATGGAAGAGAGATTAAAAAAATACGATTCATACCGCAGTCGCCCTGATCTTTAATTGGTGTCACAGCTCCCTTCTGCCTCCAATCCAAGCTGGTCGGGAGGCTCGACACGTCCACGTCCTCGTCCTCGGCCGGGAGGCGATCCTGGTAGCGCGGGCGCTTGAATTTGCCGACGTGCATGGCTCGGAACTCGGCGTTTGTGAGATCCGAGAACTTGTTGAGGCCGAGCGTGAAGGTGGTGTTGGGCTGCGCGTTGTGCTTCTCGATGTACGCCAAAGTGTCGGAGAAGATCATCAGCCTGCGAGCCTTCTCCAAGTCGCTGCTGTAACTCTTGCCGTGCTTGGCAGCCCAATCCTCGAACATGTTCTTGATCTCTAGAGCGCGACCATCTTCCAGAGCCGCTGGCCGCGCAATCGCAAACGGTGTTGCTCCTACCACCACCAGCAAGATCAAGGTCGAAGCTATCATGTTGCTCGCCATGGATGACTTCGCACTGCCACGAGTGAGCTTATATACTGAATATTTTAGCTTCGGGTAATTTCCGACCCTGTCTATTTTTATCGCAAAGTTGATAGGGATGACGGGTCTATGTACGTATGGTTTAGGTTTGGCAGTGTTATAGAGGCTCGGGATTGAACTATCCTTGCGATGGAAGCATGGAAGACGAGCCACGTAAAAGAGATGCTGCAAGTTACCTCCCGTGAGCCAGTTTCTGATATTAATGGCATTCACAACAAAAACAACATAGCCC